TCAATCTCAATATTTCTGGCAATTTTCATATTTCCATTTTCACCCCAACTTGCTCCCCATGAGTTCTTGATCTACCAATAGTTGGTACTATTATCATTTGCTCCGTAACCTATTATCAGCGATAGAGTCAGAATTTTTATTAAAGAAAATCAAAATTTAAAGAAGTAAACCCACAAAAAAGGTCAACGGGTGCCAAGTTGATACACATTTACTTCTAACTTGCAAGGACTATTTTATTTCTCCATTTGAACTACTGGTACAAAGGTATCATTACAATCAACCGTATATTGTTGTAAATACTCTTTAGCAACTAATCGCGCGAGCCTTGTGCCTTTTGATCTTGTAATCCCATTTTAATCCAATGAAATATTTTCCTTATGGAAAGTCAACACTCACATGCATTATTTTTCTAATCATTGTAATTTCTTCATCCGCAACTTTGGTCCATACTTTCTTTTTTACTGCATCTTCAAATTTTGAGGCTCGCAACTAAAGAGAATTCGAACTATATCACAAGATGACCAAATTACTTAAGTTAGGAGTTTTTCAAACCACATATATCATGAACCTATTCTAAATGTCCTTTTACTATTGATAGTGTTGTCAAGGTCTTAAGTATATGTCCTTTTGTAGACCTCCAAATAGTACCTATATGTAAGTGCCAGCAATATGATATTTAAAAGTACTAAACTGTGCCTGTGGGATGCTATAAATCTAAGATCATATGAAAGAAAATTATCTCAAATATATGATCTCTATGAATTATTTTGACTGACTTAATAAAGCACAATCTAATTCATATAAGCAATACTAAGTAACTAGGTTAAACGATTAGTTGTCATACTTACTGCTTACACAATATGTATTGAAATAATAGAGACTTAACTTGCTTAATTACTGTTAGAGTCTGTTAGGTTGTTATATCATTGATTAGCATGAACAACACTTCCTCCTCATTTTCAACCTACATGGCTCTGATACCATGAAGAAATTGATATAGAGATGAGGCTTCACTGCTAGATCAATGGAGCAGTGGATTAGGGCACATGCATAGATGAATATTCTAGAATCAGAGATAGAGAATGAAGAAGAGAAAGATATTTTCTTATATCTCTAAGCGTACATATGACAGCCTTTTATAGACTAATACAGTTGTATCAAGCCAAATGGAGAAGTAGACAAATACAAAGTCATGTTTGTGGCCAAAGGATATACTCAACATGAAGGTTTAGATTATCATGAAACCTTCTCACCAATTGCTAAAATGGTGACTGTAAGGACGGTAATCAGTGTTGCAATCTCAAGGAATTGGCCTCTGTATCAGATGGATATAAATACCTATTAGAGGAGGTCTATATGGATTTACCTCGGGGGTTTCAAAAGCAAGGGGAGTATAAAGTATGCAAGCTACTCAAGTCACTATATGGCCTAAAATAAGCCTCTAGGCAGTGGAATAACAAACATTAGCAGACACTCACAAGCTCATACACCACCACCACCACCAGATCACCCTCCCATAATGCAGTATGACAATAATAGTAACACAACAGCAGAAGAAACAACAAAACCTCACACCACTGATGGTCATGAGACAAATACAGCACACAATGCATCTACTTCTCAACATAATATACAATTTGCAGATTCTGACAGTTCAGTACAAGGATCTGAATCAATAGCAGAAAAAACTAATAATTCGGTACAAAGAGTTGAATCACCAGCAGCAGGTTATTGAGCAAATTGTAGAGAATGATAGAGGCAAAAGAGTTACCAAGCCACCAATCTGGCTTAAAGACTATGTGACCTCTAAGGGCAAGGCTCATAACTGCTTATACTTCATTGCTAACTATGTGGAGTATGATCATTTGTCCACAGGTTATCAAAAATATCTAAGTCTGTTCTCAGCACCCATAAAGCCCAAGACCTTTAAAGAAGCATCTCAAGATCAGAGGTGGATTGAAGTTATGCAACAGGAAGTCAATGCATTAGAGCAGAACTAGACTTGGAAACAGTTAGACTTACCTAAAGGTGAAGAACTAGTCATTGTCCTAGTATACGTAGATGATCTATTTATTATTGGGAATAGTAGGAGGGTAATTGACCAAGCAAAGAGCACATTGCACAATAATTTCAAAGTCAAGGACCTAGGTGAACTGAGGTACTTCCTAGGAATTGAGGTATTGAGATCACATGATGGCATACTACTCAATCAGAGAAAATACACTCTTGAGTTAATCTCTGATGTTGGCTTGAGTGGAGTTAAGTCAGTAAACACACCTTTGGAAGCAAAGTCAGGTTCACCACTGTGGATTATGATGCACATGTGGGAGCATTACAGATCCTGTACTTCCAGATGCCACTCCTTATCAGAAGCTCATTGGAAAATTGCTCTACCTAACCATCACTAGATCTGACATCAGTTTGTTGTACAAGTTCTAAGCCAATTCATGCAACAGCCTAAAGCTTCACACTAGGAGGCGAGACTTAGGCTAGTTAGATATTTGAAAGGGTCACTTGGTCAAGGTATTTTGCTGAAGAATAATCCATGCATGCAACTGATTGTATTTTGTTACAGTGATTGGGCAGCCTGCTCAAACACTAGAAGATCTGTGACTGGCTATATAGTAAAACTAGGGGACTCTATCATATCGTGCAAGTCAAAGAAGCAAGCACACTATGAGTCGAAACTCATCAGAGGCAGAATATAGGAGCATGGCAGTTGCAGTTTCAGAGGTAATTTGGATAGCAGGGCTGTTAAAAGAACTAAATGTGTCTATAACTATACCTGTGAAGTTGTTCTGCGACAGCAACGCAGCTATACAGATTGCCTCCAACCCTATCTATCATGAGAGGACGAAACATATCGAAATAGACTGTCACTTTGTAAGAGGCATGATCAAAGCAGGGCTAATAGTGCCTGAGCATGTCAATACCAAAAGCCAATTGGAAGATCTACTGACTAAGGCTCTAGGGACTGTTCAGCATCATTTCCTTTTATCCAAGCTTAGAGTGCTCGATGTATTCTACCCTCCAGCATGAGAGGGAGTATTGAAATAATAGAGACTTAGCTTGCCTAATTATTGTTATAGTCTGTTAAGTTGTTAGAGTTAGTGATTACTATTAGAGGTGGTTAACTGCACATGTAATGCACGTGAGAATACAACTGTATTAGTCTATAAAAGGTTGTCATATGTACGCTTAGAGATATAAGAAAATATCTTTCTCTTCTTCATTCTCTATCTCAGATTCTAGAATATTCATCTCTGTATATGCTCTAATCCACTGCTCCATTGATCTAGCAGTGAAGCCTCATCTCTGCATCAATTTCTTCAATATGTAATATATTCCAGAAACCTATTTGACTAATTAGAGACTTGTATGTAATATATATACAGAATAAATAATTTTTTTAAAAGAATAACCTAGACATCCGATCCTAATTTATCTTAAACGATAAATTATTATGTATGGTAATATAACGAGCTTATGTGGAGTAGAATTACTATAAAGGATTCATGAAGCCGACCCTAAATAGTACAATGACTTTTTACATATTGTACCTTAAATCAATAAATATGACGTGTCTTAAATTGTTTATATCTGAAAAATTTAATCGCTTTTGGTTAATTAACATGTCTTTTGCTAATCATGTTAATTTTTTTTAATGCTTATTCACTTACTTTTTGTGTTCTATGTTAGTACAAGTAGTATCACGCTTCATTAGTAAAGCTACGAAAATTACAAAACTTAAAATATTATAACAAGACACTTTAAATTTTGCAGATGGTTCATAATCATAATTAACACAACTCAACTAGATTGCGATTTACTACTAATCAAAATCTGTCTTTAGAATATTTAAGTCAAGATAATACTAAGGGAAGAGTTCTCAGGTCGCCGTTAGTCGAGATGACCCAAGAAGCAGCAAAGTCCATGGTCGAAGAGTCGACGAGAGTCATAGTCGAGATGTCAACAAGGGTCGATGTCGAGTATCGTTGACAGAGTTGTAACGACTAGTTTTCAAGATAGGATATTAAAGAGAATATTTTAGTGGATATTCTCTGCACTTGTACTATTAGAATTTCTTAGGAATATATTTCATATAAATAGAAAAAGAGATAATGATATGGGCAGGTGATATTCATTTGTAAAAAATACATTTTGACTAAATGATTCTCTCTTACTTGCTAAGATACAAACATCGCCTTTTCACTTAGATTCTGGTCTATATTTTTCCATCAGATCCGAGAATAACTCGAATATTCAAGAATCTTTCTATCATTCATCATTGTCAGGAGGAACATCCATCTATTCCATTCTTTATTTGGTGAATCATTCCTCTTATTTACGATGTTCAATATTATTGAATGCTATATTATTGCTCCTAATTTCTAAAACATTTGTTACATATTATTGTCATTGTCCGACCAGATCCACATGACATTTACTGCTTTTTTAACAACCCTATCTAAGGATATTATTGTTAGCTAATATTAACCCTTGTTCACATAGATGTAATTATTTGAACCAATATCTGTATTTTTTTTTTTCAAACAACGACTAATGCTCTTTATAGAGTTGAATCACTTAAACATTGTTCATTAAGCACATGACGTTGAAGAAACATCTAAAATAAAATAAAACCTTTTTATGGTTATTAACTTTTGTAGCTGATGTAAATATAGTGCTAACACATATCGTATCTAAAAATGTGAAATAGCAAAACTCAATTTTTAGAATAAAATATTTCAAAATTCATGGTAAAGATTCATGATTATGAAACGTAAATCTAGCTCCTTTTTATGGAAAAAAAAAAATTAAAAATATCTTATTTCATGGGAGAAAGAGAAAAAAAAAACAATGAAAACAATACCAAGACTCTCATTATATTATTAGATTATAATTTTTTGTGGTGTAAACCTAACTCTTTTTTCTTCAAAAGCAATGTTATTCTTAGAATTAGATTAGATTAGATTAGTTAAATTTGATGCATGCATTAGGCATTTAGGCAAAAAGCATAAATGTTTTCCCAGAAATAAGAAAGCGCAAAAGGGAAAAGAAAAAAAGAGAAGGTTATCCAATCTGATTTTTCAATAAATGTTCTTTCGACAGAAATAAATTGATACGTAGTGATTTTTGGTTGTCGGCTTCGCTGAGTCAAGGAACCGAGTCGGTGAGTTCCCTTTTTTTTTTTCTCTGTATCTCATCATACAATCATCTATTGAGTTTCTCGTAAAATTCACTCTTTATTTTGCAGATTACTTAAGGCGATCTCAATCTCTGTTCTTCATCAGGTATCTCTCTCTTTCTACGGCTAAAAATAAAGAAATTTTGTTAATATCCCGTTATTATGCTTTAGCAATTTCCCAAAATCATGTCTTTTTTATTTTTAGTGGCTGGTGCTTCATATGAATCACTTGTTGAAAAGAAGGAAGGAAAATGATTTTTCAGCTGAGCTCTAGGGTTTTGGCTATTGGGATATTTTATAATTTTTTTGCTTTGTTTTGTGTATCTATATGAACTTTTGGTGTAATTTTGAATTACCCTTCATCTATGAAATGAGTTCTCCCTGAGAATCTGTTAATTTTTTTCTTTTTTATCATGTTGGAGTTTTTTTTTGACTTTTCATACTTGGTTGTGCTCCAAAATATTCTTATTTTCTGGTCTATGCTTATTTAATGGGCACTCGAACATGGCTTCAGTATTTGAGGTTGTTGTACTTTTTCGAATGCCTTGGTGTAAGGAAATTTTCTTAAGTTTCATGTTTTTTAAGGTCTAATACACTTTTTCTCTAGACTGGGATTACTGGAGCAAGTTTTTGCCTAAAATTAGATACTAAATTTTGTGATATTGCTTCATGCTGCATATGTTCTTCTTCAGCTTTGAAGTCCATACCTAATGGATCATTTTAGGGGGCATTTACTGCTTAGAATCCTTATTAACATTTGATTGATGCGTTATCACTTGGCCGTTTTCAAATTTAGACACGTGGACAGAAGGGTCTGGTCGTAAAGGTGGAAGAGGTACATTCCGAATCAATGTTTTTAAAAGTGAAAAGCGCAATAAAACGACAAGGTCAAGGGGGTTTGAAGCGAACAGCTAGAAGTGAAACATACGCTTCTTTAAAGTGAAACACACAATTTACTGAAAATTCCAAAAATACCATACATATATAAATGTAGTATTATAATAATCAAATTTCAACATCCTATATACAACAATGCTGATATTAATCCAACTCCTCAAAGTTGAGATTCAAAGGATCGACAGTTTCTTATTGAGATCTCTTTGCACGTCATTATTTGAAGCGCAAACTTTTGTTGAAGCATGTAGACTTCACCCATTAAGCGATACACTTCGCTTCGCATCATTTCATGGCTTTTAATAACACTGTCCTGAACATGATAGGATCACTTCTTGTGGAACTGAACTATGTGTGTGTGTGTGTGTGTGAGAGAGAGAGAGAGAGAGAGAGAGAGAGAGAGAGAGAGAGAGAGTATGGCATGCTAATGTGTTCTCTTAATTCTTCTGGGTTAAATATCTGGCTTCCTTTGTGGACTAATCAATGCTATGTCAGATCGACATAGTTCTTCTCTAATGCTATCTTGGTGCAATGAACCAAAGTAACTCAAATAGTGATGGTTATTCTTCACCAAAGTGGAACCAATTAATATAGGGTGCAGAAGAGCAATAAATGTCACACTTCTCATTAATAATTTGCTTTGTCTTCTTTTAGCTGATTTGCGTTTCTAAACTTGTGCCCGACAGTTGCTTGAGCCATGGGGAAGAGGAAGTCGAAATCAAAGCCGCCTCCAAAGAAGAGAATGGACAAACTTGACACTGTCTTCAGCTGTCCTTTCTGCAGCCATGGCACCAGCGTTGAATGTCGCATGTAAATTAATTACTTTTGCATTTCTATGTCCAAGTCATTTTTCTGCATAGCCATGGACTAGATTGGGTTATTCCCTTCTCACAAACAACACTACGCCTCAGTCCCAAACAGGTTGGGGTTGGCGGCTATTCCCTTCTCATGTTCACACCAGTGTAGACACTTATTCTGGATGATAACTCCTAAGTTAGGCTAAGAAGGATGGCCTGCAGAAAGATTAACACAGGAGAACATAAAACCTGTCCTTTCCACCAGACAAAATAGCAGAAGAGTTCTGAGAGGAATAAGCTGTGTTTTCCTTTTTCGTTCGGATGAATAACCTCTGTTATACTTGTGTGTTCCAAGTAGCAGTTTCTAGTTCCGCACATGTCATGTGTTAATAGATTTTACTCATTAACAAAAGCTTGTACTGGTATTTTTTTTTGGTTGGCCATTTATATGATGATATGTCAATGCTCAAGCTTGCACTTACTGGTTTTCAGTGATATGAAAAACTTGATTGGGGAGGCAACATGCAGGATTTGTCAAGAGAGCTTCAGCACCACTGTTACGGGTATGTTAGATATTTGGTTTCTAATTTATTTATTTGTTGTCCCCTGTGTTGCATTCATTTCAGAAAACATGGTGCAATTATTTTGACAACATAAAATATTTGGAGGACTAACTAAAAGAGGTGAAAAGAAACTAGAGATGTTTCTTTTTATGTTCTATATCATCTTTTTATGCATCAAATCAATTATTATGTGCAATTATGGTTCTCTAGATGATCTGCCTTCTGTAAGATAGTGAGTACAATCTGTGTCCTAAGGGTTTTGGTCTAGTGGTAAGAGCGCATCACGCAATGTGTGGGTTAGGCATACATCATGGGTTCGAATCTTGCCACAAACGAAAACATGGTATCTCAGTGCGGAAGGGTAGTTGCTGGTCCCATTAACCTCCGAGTTTCCAACCATTTGCCATTGGCCAACGGCCATTGGGAATTTTTCGGTTATCCCAAAAATAGAGCACAAGCTGCATTCACTTGTTTCAAGTTTGTTTAGCACATTTTCTTGTCCTTGGCCTGCATACCAGAGCAGATAGAGTCGTGTTACAAATCTGAAATAAATGATAAAAGTGTCCTCTCTTACAACACAAGCTTTTCGATGAAGCAGCTTCATTCTTCAAAGATTAGCTTCTTAGGAATTGAACATTTGGAACACTTGATGGGTCCCTCGAAATGGATTTTATTGTTAAGCTAACAGTTCTTACTTTTTTATCCTGCAGCACTGACAGAGCCTATTGATATGTAAGTTCATCTAGCATTGCTATGTGTCTTTATTTACTCCCTTTGTGCCCCCATCCTCCCTCTCTCATATCTCTTTGTTGAAAACTCACAGATATAGTGAATGGATTGACGAGTGTGAACGAGTCAACAACCTCGAAGACGATGATGGTTCTTAGGCTCTAGTGGCAGTCTGCTTAGTTGTGTAGACAGTAGCCTGCTGCCTTAAGTTTGATGTCAGTTCTGGTGATATTTCTATGTTTCATCACTACTACAGTTGTACCAAAACTTACGAAAGCCTCTTGGTTCGATAAATAAGCTCCATGTGACAGGTTTTCTATGTTCAAATCGATGCAATTACTGTCGTGTTTATATCCTGAATGTTATATTATAGCTCGTTTGAGGTCGAATCTAAACACACAATCAAGTAGGTTTCCACTTTGGTGTATAGTACCCAAAGCATGCAAATAATCAACAGCTTAAATATGCTATAAAATGCCTGTATACAGCTTTGCTTGGGCTATGTGCCGTGACTGATAGGCATCTACTAGTGGCCTCGCTTTTCACTGAATGAACCATGGGACATTAGGTTCAAATATCAGCAATGCAATGTGATTTTTTCATATGTTTAAGCCTTTGTGGAAAGTAGGAGATATCGGGTGGATTAACATAGTGTACACAGTTGGTTCAGACATCACTAATTGTTTTTAAAAAAAAAAAGTGCTCAAGGTAATAGTTTCTAGTCGAAGTGTCAGCAGCATCTGTAAAATAGTGATGTGAAGCTCGAAATTTTCGGGTGGACAGCTTTTCATCTTGTATAGCAACTCCAAGATGCATTGTTTGAATTGACTGGAGTTCTAATAACTACTTATATGAAGCTCTTGAGATTGGCTATTATGCATAGTTCTCGACAAACTGAATTTCTCGTAAACTATATGATTAATAAAAAAATTTACTAACAGAAACATCTCTGATAAGTGATATGTAACCAACAGTAGACATTGAAGCGAAGAATTTGCTAATCATCATTTGATTAGCTACCAAAGTATAACTATAGAAGAAAGCAGACATTTACTGAACTTTATTTTAATATAATATAATATGATGTCAGTATCATACAGTCGAGTAGAAATCTCTCTTATGTCTAAGGCCAATTACCGCTATATCTTTCTATGATAATCGTCCTTTATAATAACTAAAAGGCGAGTGTTTTTTTTTTTTTAAATTGAAAAAATAATTTCTAGGTTTTGATGGGTATCGTTAATCCTGGTTAAAGAATTTGCTCTAATCGTTAGTTATTATAGGATTTTCTTAGTATTAACATGGTAAATGTAAGTTGTTATCGTAAATTTAATTTGTTAATTGGTTGCAAACAAATTCGTTTTAAATTTGTTTCGATTAATTTGTTCTTTTTTGCTCGAGTCTGGAAAATCAGTTTTATAAATGACAATTACAAGTTATAATTCTCTACTCTAAGTTTGGTTGATAGAACATAACCGTAAAGAGTAATACCGAAATTACCGAACCAAAATCGAAAAGTGGAAAACCGAACCATACCGAATTTATTTTGGTACGGTATAAGTAACATTGTTAAATTCACCAAAGGACTATCTTCCGATACCGTGCCAAACAGACCTATAAACACCCCTATGTATATGTATAATACACGGACAAAAAGCCTCTTTATTTTAAAAGCATCCAAAGTACTTATCCAATCTACGTTACATAGTAGCCACCTAAATTATCAACGAGATAGTCAGGAAAAGGTGCACCGGTCCCATAATCAAACCCTTCACTAGCTGGAACAATTCGATTTGGAACAGCATGCATGTTAACAGCAACGTCCTTGTTAGCTTTTGCTCTACCTTTAACAGAGCGCTTGTTCTCCGAAGGAAATTCAGCAGTGAGTCTTCCCATTTGCTTTTGCAAATCCGCAACTGATTCCTTCGTTACTTTCCCTTTTGGACTCTTCTTCCCATCAACAAGTTTCAGCTCCAATCTGTACAGGGCACACACATCATACTTGTTGATCTCATATTCATACAGATGCCATTCCAGGTCTTTCATCGGCTGTGGATCCATATAGTAGGATCTCTTCAGCCCTCCGTATTCATTCATCACTTGTTTCCTAGACTCATGCCAACCCCGCCCGTTATAATCTGGCAGTGACCTCTGCTTTCTGTTTCCGCTTTCAAATGCTCTTCGAGGCTTATCAAAGAAAAGCCATTCCCTGATTGTTTCACCTTCAACAACTTTAAGGTCAAAGAGCTCTGCAGAAGAATAAGCAAACAAATTGATATCAGATTTTACAAGTAAAATAAAAGAGGAATAAACTGATCTGGTATATGACACACAGCAATCAGAAATACAGAAGTGTCTCAGCACACTAACCTGGTGCCTTCCAAGGGGATTTTGCAGTGGCAGCACCTTCACACTCCGGAATACCAACATCTTTCCCCAGTGCTTTTGCACTTAGAGCTTGGAAAAGCAAATTATCCTTTAAGCCAATACCCATCGGTCGAACAACTGGAGCTGTTCCAGGATAACCTTCATTAGGCGCAAGAGAAGCATGATAGTCACTGCAGTAGTCATGAGACTTCTGACACCAATCTGACCCCATCGCAGGTCGAGGACAATCCCAAAGTGAACATTTAGGACCCAGGAAAGCAGAGGGCGGAGGACTAATATGAACAGGAGGCAACACATCCTCTAGACAAAGATTTAAAGCATCAAATCCGGGGAAGTACCGATCAAAGTCTTGCTGCAAATCAAAAGAATTGTAATCTTGTTGTGTTGCAATGCCTAGGTTGTTAATCCCTGCATTGTTGACCACCAACGGCATACTTTTGCACTGATCAACCAACTGGTAACCTTGCTCCTGCAGCACCGGAGTTACATTGAAACCCTGCAGAAAACACGTCGCTTAAGTTGTGAGGATTCATTGATAAACTTAGCGCAAGTGCAAACCCGTTAAAAGAAAAAAAGATTGCAGGAAAAACTATCTGAAAAAGGACGGCCAAGAAGTTTCTTAAAGGCGTGACATTCTTAGAGGATCCGGCGCAAGGAAAAGAAAGGAAGACAGCAAACTGATGATCAAACTGAAACAAGTAAAAGTTCAACAAGATGGTCAGCCATGAGACACACCACATTATGAGGACAAAATTTCGAGGAAAAAATCTTCAAATTCAAGATATCAAGCTAGCTATATAAAAAGAACAAAGTGCTTATTAGTCAAGTACACTATCTTGAAACTTTTAAGCAAAAGGCGAGGAATAGCTAGCTGATGGTAGGAATTAATTTATTCCTACTATGCAACAGAGAGAACTCTGTTTATGTGAACTTAGCAAAGCATTACTGGTCCAGCCGGGATAAAGGAAGAACATTGTGATAGGTTAAACACCAATATAAAACTAGTCTAGCTATGATGATCCTTCAAATACTGAATACTCAATAGTCAATAGAGCAGAATAGATACAAAGGATTCATAATAAAGGGCAGCCCGGTGCACTAAGCTCCCGCTATGCGCGGGGTCCGGGGAAGGGCCGGACCACAAGGGTCTATTGTACGCAGCCTTACCCTGCATTTCTGCAAGAGGCTGTTTCCACGGCTTGAACCCGTGACCTCCTTATCACATGGCAGCAACTTTACAAGTTACGCCAAAGCTCCCCTTCAAAGGATTCATAATGCTGGCCCTAAATAATTTGGTGAAACATAGTTGATTCGTTGATTGATATGTAACAAGGGACTAGAGGAGCACTCTGGATAATGTTCACATTTTCAAATATTTGAGGTACCTCCAAAGCACTTTCTGGGATAATTTCCTTAGACAGAACTCCACCAGCAACCACACCCTCACCAAATAGTCTAACATGGTAATATAATTTTCAGTTCTGTGGTTTAAAAAAATTATTTCAAAGCATCTGCTGATCTGTTCCTATTACGTAGGCAACTGGTAAGACAACCACAATCAGGCCTGGAACTCTCAAAGCGAGTCTAGGGAAAAATTTAACATCCACTGACAGCAAGTTGGTTTTAACCAACAGCAAGAAAGGAACCATACATTCAACAAAGCAACAAGTGTTATCTAAACATACAAATCAAATAGCAAAATCGTGACTGAAAGACCTAATCATAATTCAGAACCTACAGGCTTCCAGGGAAAAGTAGATCAATGAAATCAATAAAGGCAATATTACAGAAAACTTTATACAGCAGATATCCAAACAGAAGATTCAATTTACAAATAGAAGAAAAACATGTTTCGGATATACCAAAGTAATGGCAAGCCTACCCGATGAGATCAAAAGAGCTGTAAATATACTAATCAAATTCAACACAATGGTGTACCAGGAGAGATGCAAACATATTCCAGAGATCATGTCCGGAGAAAAGTAGGTCAAAGAAACTAAAATTAAGGAGGCAATAACACAAGATTTTATAAAACAAAAATCCAACAGAAGATTCAAGTTACAAAAAGGAGGAAAAACATGTTCCAGATGAACCAAAATAATGGCATACCTACTCTGTGAGTTCGTAAGAGCTACAAATGTAATCAAATTCAACACTATGGTCTAGCAGGACAGATACTAACATATTTCATAGGTCAAGTGTTCATTGAAGCTTTGAGGTGAACTACATTCAGGAGTTATCTACATAAAGGTTTGAAAAATGTTATACTCCTATAAAAAAGAACATGCTGTACTCTTACTGATCAAGAAAACATGTCATACTCTTTGTCATTTATTTCACCTGCTTGCACTTCGGAGATCAAAAGAAACTCCTCTTTGACTAAGTTTACAATTAGTCATTTATTATATTAAATTCTTGCATTTCGTGGTTACACATATTCTTGTGTCATTAATCTATACATTTCATTTTAAAAACAAGAAATACATTCATAATGTGTGAAGCTAGATAAAGTCTGAACATGTTATACTTTGAGATTTATTTGAGTTGCTTGCCATTTTAATCAGTAAAATAAACTCCTCTTGAACATTATGTTTTCAACTGTTCCTTTATTATTCCTAGTTCTTACATTTCGATGTTAAACATTTTTTATATTTTCTTAATTTATACATTTCATTTAGAAAAGGTTCATCAATGTGTTAAAGTAGACTAAGAATAGATCACCAGCAGACCAAATCGGGTCATTCCCTGTGGTCCCTTATTGATAGAGGAATATGCTGTAGCCAATAGACGATTATCTTAAAATAATAGTTGCGTCTGCAAAACTAGTCCAGTTTGGATCTGTTATCATCAACAACCAACGATAACAGTTCAGAATTTTTTATGCTTTTCCATTTGCAGAGAAGGGTGGGTCAACTATCAAGTAAGCTGGGACATATAAAAACGGAGACTGGGTCAAATAAAACGGAAACGAGATCCTAGCAATTCACAAACTACAATGAAATCAAAGCTTCCTAAGATAAAATACCAACATCATTCTAAAATGGATTTCCAACAAGGTTCAATCTGTTGGAAATGATACCACTTTAGAGAGTCCATCACATGCACAAGCTTAATTTCAAGGAAAATGATTACCTCTTGAAATCCAGCAACATCATTTTTTGGAGCAACAGGCTCAGGCTTAGGTGCAGCTAATGCGCTGGTAGCATCATCTTCCTCCTCACCAAGCAGCAGTCTATAGATATCTGATGAGACACGGCTTCCTCCCTGCACACCATGCATCAAGATAAACACTTACGACTAATATTTTTATGTGCATTAAAACTATACACCAATGCTTGAACACTGAAACATACTTAAACACCATAGATCCGCAGTTGCACACAATTACACCATAACGGACACAATTACACTTGAATCTCATAGAGATACAAGTATGTGCTAGTAATAGATCCAAAACTTTTGTAAAAGTTTTCTCAAGATGCTTCAATCAAAAATAACATACTACATCACAAACACAGACAAAGACAAACACAAGTGGACATGCAAATATCAAACTTTGATCACATCAATATAAGACTAATGTGGACCAGACAATATCAAAACATGGGCAATCGTGCATATAAAAGGAAACTAAAACCACTTGGCACACACCACTAAAGGGACTTAAGGTTGGTTCTTGCCTGCAACGAAGAAGCCGGGGAAGGCTCATTGAGCTCAGCCTTCCACTCACGAAGCATCTGATGAACCTGCTCTTCAAGCACCCCAACATCATAAGTTCGACTCTCCTTCCTTGCAGATTGCAGGTTAGTGAACACACCCTGCAGATCATCCACGCGGTTCTTCGCCTTGTCCTTGAAGAGCTGGTGCGATGCAGACTTGCCCGCACCGCTCTTCGAACCCTTCCACATTCCAATCAAAGCAGAAGAAACAAACCCCTCAATCTTTCACCTGCAAAAAACAACAAAAAAAACATCTTTAGCATAAACTCACCATCTTTATATGTTCCATTCCACCATCAAGCACAATACATAAGCTAAACATAACCAACAAGATAACATTAGGGATTTTCGTGTTAGAAAAGCAATAAATAAAAAATTTCAACCTTTGCAGAATCAAAATTCCGAAAAATAATCAAACATAAGCAACAACAACCAAAAGTACCCCAAGTTTAATCATACCCGCTACAACCAAAACTCTGGCAAATCCCAAATCCCCAAAAAGGCACAATTTCCCAAGAAAAGGCTCGATTCGACAAAGCCCCACGAAGTAAGGCGATCTTAAAGCACTTACAAAACCCTAATTATGAGGAATCAAAAGAACAGTTGCAGCATATCAATCAACTAAAAAATTGTAAGGGAATATATATAAAGCAAGGTTAAGAAAAAGGGAGAATAAAGCATGGAAAAGAATAGGCAACTACTCAGAAATTAGTCAATTGGAAAAAGAAAAAAAAAAGAGAAAAGGGAAAATTGGTAAAGTAAAACAGGAAACATTAGCAACAGGAAAGAACGAAGATGGATAGGATTCATACCAATTACCGGTAGGTAGGGTGGGTCGGATTGCGGCCTCTGAGACAGTGAAAAGAGAGAAAGAGAGAATATGTGTAAGAGCTGCCTTTTTGGGTTTTGATTTCGTGTCTGTGATTTTCTCTCTCTAGTTCAATATATCAATATATATATTCTTGGAAATTCGAATGTGATTTGTGTAGAACTAGAAGACTGCTCTATATTATAGTACTACTACAGATTGGCCCAATAACACTATTACCTAAATAATAGAGTCACAGATATATGTATGGTAGAGTTAGACGGAGTTAATCTTCAAAGGATACTAAAGTTATTCTTAAATCATCTAAAGTCATTAAAATTACAATTTCATTGGACTCAGCTATTACTTAAAATTAAAATTTAAGGAGCTTAATTTTATGATCATATTGTTCGAATTAGCAGGAGTTATAAAATTTATGTTTAATTTATAAATATTGACAATCTTCTTTTGTTGCAATGTCAAGTTATGTAACGCAACTACAATTAGATTCACATTTAATATTACTTCATGCCTAAAATAAATATCGTTTAAAAATTTTGTATGCTCATTAAAAAAATCATATAAAACAAAAATTATAAGATTTATTTGATTAAGTTATGCTTTATATCATAGTCAAATACTCATTATAATATGTGGGTAATTATTAGATCGAAAATAGATTTAGAAAAACATAACTAATGTCGTTTTAATTTTTCAAAGCAACATTTATTTTGGCCAAATATATTTAGCTAAATAAATTGACATTTATTTTTCGGCGAACGGCCAAATATACCCATGTACTTTCGAAAATGGTCTAAGAATACCCACCGTTATACTATTGGGCTATATATATACCCTTTCCGTCATACTTTGGAACAAATATACCCTTATTTTCGATGGAGTGCCACGTGTCAGCACCAAATGAAAACGACTCATTTCTTTTTTTTTACCGGATCCGTTTTAAAAAATCCACCACCCGACCCGTTTTAAAATTCAGTTTTTTTAAAGCATATATTTTGTAAAAACTGAAATTTTGTTTTGTAAAAATTGAAAAGAAAAAAAAAGGAATTTGCAAAATATATATTTTTAAGTCTTTTCAGTTTTTTTAAAGTATTTGTTTTGTAAAAACTGGGAAAAAAATTAAAAATGATTTAAAAACTAAAAAATATATATTCTGTAAAAACTGAAAAAAAAAAAAAAAAGGAATTTGCAAAATATAGATTTTTAAGTCTTTTCAGTTTTTTTAAAGTATTTTTTTTGTAAACTGGTTGTTGTTGGTGTTGGATTGTGATTCTCTTGTTGGTTATCTTCGAGTCATTCCCACATATCACTAAGTATTGGCAACTCTAACTGGCATAGTAATACTGGTTCTGCTGAAGACTAATCAATTCTTGAGTGTCTTCTGTGCAGTAGCAGTGCTAGTTGAGCATTCTGCTGTAGCTAGGCATGTTACAGTCACCATTACTCACGTATCTACACCCTTCAAGCATTGTGTATGTAAGCCCAGTAGAGTGAGAGAAGATAGCTATAACCAAACAAATATGGCATCCTTTGATATATGTATGAGACTAGTCTTTGCCTCAATTTTCTGATCTTGTTATCCTCTGGGAAGCAGCAAACATTTTAAATCATTCCCACATAGTAAAAGGCAGTGGCAACTTCAACTAGCATCCAAACATTGAAGACCAATCAATTTTGTGATTGTTCTCTGTGCAAAAGTAGTGCAGGTTGAGCCTTTATTCTTTGCCTCAGTTTTCTGATCCTGTTATTGATACCTGCAACATGAAACAACCAAGTTAGGGTGTAAAATTGTTCTCCCAGGATTTGTGTGTACTGATAACTTTGATGATGATGAGGGATGTTGTTGGTGCTAGATTGTGACTCTCTTGTTGGTTATCTTCAAGTCATTCCCATATAGCACTAACTATTGGCAACTCCAACTGCATAGTAATACTGGTTATGCTGAAGGATAATCAGTTCTTGATTGTTGTAACGATCCGGCCGGTCGTTTTGAGAGTAATAACTTCGGCTCTCTATTTACTGTTTCCCCCGTATCTTTTTCTGCCTATGTGACTTGTCGGGAGGTTTTGTTTTTGGTTTCGGAGTGTTTTGGGGCACTTAGTCCGTAAAATAGAAGCTTAAGTCTTAGAATTTTAACCGTAGTCGGAACTGTGTGAAGACGACTACGGAATAAAGTTCGGTCGGTTCTGTTAGCTCCGTTGGGTAATTTTGGACTTCGGAGCATGTCCGGACTGTGAATTTGAGGTTTGTAGCTGATGCTTGAATTGACGAAAGTTGAATTTTTGGAAATTTTGCCGGTAGTGGACTCTTTGATATCGAGGTCGGATTCCGATTCCGAAAGTTGGAGTATGTCCGTAAAGTTGAATATGACTTGTGTGCAAAATTTGGGGTCAATCGGACGTGGTTTGATAGGTTTCGGCATCGGTTGTGAAAATTTGAAGTTTCAAGTTCTTTAAGTTTGAATTGGAGGGCGATTCGTGATTTTAGCATTGTTTGATGTGGTTTGAGGGCTCGACTAAGTTCGTATGGTCTTTTAGGATTGGTTGGTATATTTGGTTGAGGTCCCGGGGGCCTCGGCTGAGTTTCGGATGCCCAACGGATCATGTTTTTGGACTTAGGAGGCTGCTGAAGTTTTCTGGTGTCTGAGTTCTGGTTTCCTTATACGCGATTGCATGGGGTGATCCGCGATCACGTAAGCAAGTTGGGTGAGAGGATGGAATTGTTCTTTGCATTCGCAGACAGTGGCATGCGAACGCGTAGTGAAGTGAGGTGGTGCTTCACGAACGCAGAGACAAGGTCGTGTTCATGTAGGGTTAAGTGGACCAAAGCCGGGCCACGCGCGTTGCTCATCGCGAACGCGTGAGAAAGTTTGCGATCGCGTGATTCTGAGAGCCAGAGCATCGCGTTCGCATGGTGTTTTACGCGTTCTTGTAGAGTTAATTTCTGGGGTAGCAAAGTTCTTCTTCGCGATCGTGATTAAGGAATCACTAGGCAGTATTAAACATTTCAAAAATGAGGGTTTGGCCATTTTTCTCAAAACTTGAGTTTGGGAGCTCGGATTTGGATGAAAATTTGTGAAATTTTTAGAGACATCGATTGGTTAATGATTCTACACTCCAATTTAGTTATATTCCACTAATCTATCATTAATTTCCTCTTTAATTTTAGATTTTTGGGGTTGAAATTGAGAAAAATTGGAAGAACTTCTTAAAGAAAGATTTCGAGTTTTGAAAGGGGATTTGTGGTCGGATTTGAGTAATTTTTATATGGTTGGACTAGTGAGTGAATGGGTGTTCATATTTTGTGACTTTTACCCGATTCTGATACGTGGGCCCGGGTCGACGTTTTAGGGCGAATTTCGAAATTTTTGTTAAAGTATTGATTTCATTAATTAGATGAGTCTATTATGGTTGTATTTATGATATGTAATTGCTTTTGGCTAGATTTGGGCCATTCGGAGCTGGATATTCGTGGAAAACTCATTGTGACCGATTGATTGAGCTTGGTTCGAGGTAAGTGGCTTGCCTAACCTTGTGTGGGGAAAACTTCCCTTAGGATTTGATACTATTTTGATATGTGAGCACCGTGTACGTAAGGTGACGAGTACGTACACAGGCTATTTGTTGTAAAACCCCATTCTTCACTAAGTAATAACTTGTTTTTCCCCTTATTTGAACTACACTAACATATGTAACTATCCTGTTTAGTTTAGAATAGCATGCCTACGTGTCTTAACTGCCTATCTGAACTCTGTGCAGCATGTTTAGTGAAATTCCTATTTTTTTTGTTTGACTTGAACTTAGTCTCAATTGTAGGTTTTTTTGCTGTAACTGTTATTTCTGTTGGTTGAGCTGCATATTTACTTTGGGACTACAGAACGGTATTCCGGGAGATCCCCATGTACTGCATATTTACCTTGGGACTACGGAATGGTGTTCCGGGAGATCCCCCATGTTCTGCATATTTACTTTGGGACTACAGAACGGTATTCCGGGAGATCCCCATGTACTGCATATTTACCTTGGGACTACGGAATGGTGTTCCGGGAGATCCCCCATGTTCTGCATATTTACTTTGGGACTACAGAACGGTATTCCGGGAGATCCCCATGTACTGCATATTTACCTTGGGACTACGGAATGGTGTTCCGGGAGATCCCCCATGTTCTGCATATTTACTTTGGGACTACAGAACGGTATTCCGGGAGATCCCCATGTACTGCATATTTACCTTGGGACTACGGAATGGTGTTCCGGGAGATCCCCCATGTTCTGCATATTTACTTTGGGACTACACAACGGTATTCCGGGAGATCCCCCTACACATTTACGTTTGGGACTACGAGACGGTATCTCGGGATATCCCCTGTTGTTATCTCTGTGTACTGAGCTGTCATCTTCTATAAATTCTTTCTTGTTAAATTTCAGTTTTTATTTTACTGCGATATTTCGTTCTTGCCTTGTTTTATTATTATTTATACCAGTGGGGTTCTGACCTAACCTCGTCAATACTCGACCAAGGTTAGGCTTGGCACTTATTGGGTACCGATTGTGGTGTACTCATGCTACTCTTCTGTACATGTTTTTCGTGTGCAGATCCAAGTGCTCCTTATCAGTCGCACTATCAGTGAGCCGGGACAGCTTTGGAGACTTCAAGGTATATCTTCCGTGTCCGCAGACCTCGAAGTCCCCTTCTACTCTTTCCCATGTCCATTATCTTATATGTTTTTGTTTTGTTAGACTCTGATGTATATAGACACTAGACTTTCCTTCTGTAGTTTGTGATTCATGATGT